TAATATTTTTAATTTTCGGGACTTACGATCTTTTTGCGCCAAGTTATAAAAGTGTAAAAACTTAATTTTATCGCAAACAAAAGAGGACCGCCGATAAGAATTTGGCGGGGGCGGCGGAGGGCCTCTTTAGATTAACTTTTCTATTGTATGAAATTTTAAGTTGGTCTAAAATAATCTTTTATGCGATAGATTTTCGTTTGCGCATTTACAGTACGATTTTTGTTACACATTTATATGTATAGTGGTACTGGTTTTATCGGATAACTATTGGTTACAGTAGTTAAATCCGAATCGGTGAACCCTCCGATCTTTTTGAAGCGACACTATTTTTTGTATTTTTAAACGCTGATTACGAATATGAGAATAAAAATTTGCGACAAGGTCATTTTCAAGGTCAAAACTAAAAAACTGAAGAAATATAACTTAAATTTTATAAACCTGTTGATTATTTATTAATTTTGTACGATATATAATTTATGTACGACTGTTTTGTTCTTCGTGTGTTTTTTTCAGATTCTTGCATGGTATCGTCTCCTCCTGACGCTCGATCTCTTTTGGCCGGTCCTTATACGCTGTTCGCGTATAGTGTTTGTTGGTGTCGGTACGACAGGTATCCTAACCTCACAACTGTCAGATTTTAACAATTTATAACTCTCTTAGTAGTGCCGAGCGACAATTTTAACTTGCAAATTCGTGTTTTACAGGCAAAAATACACGATCCTATGAATTTTCATGAAAAACGGAGAATGAGAGACTCTCCTTCAGTATTACCTGGAGACTTTATCGACAGTGCTTGAAAATGGGCGTAGCGGAGTAGTTTCAAAAATAAAAGTGGGCGTAAAGCGCTGGAAACTGCTTAGCGAAATGGTAACAAGTAAAACTCATCAATAAGACAATAAGACCAGAGTGGCCGCTCTCATGTTTCTCTCTGGTATCAGGTAAAACGCCGGCGTGGCCGCCCTCAGGTTTCTCTCTGGTTCCAGTAATTCCAGTGGCTGCTCTCAGGTTATGTGCCAGGTACGTGTGTACAGGGAATTGAGCGCGTAATAAATCTGCGATACAACGATTGCGGCCTGACAAGTCGGCGAAATGGAGAACATGAAATACATCTACCATCTGCCGTTCTTGGAACGGCTGGAGTTTTGCAAAATTATGAACCAAAACGACAAGTGGGAGGCGTTGGCTGGTACGTGACCAGGAAGTCTCGTTGCATTCCAACTCGCTTGCTTATTGCTCGTCTTATTCGTCTCGATCACCTGCCGCATGAGTTTGCGTTAGATTGCATCTCTCTTTCAACTTTTGCGACGGAGTTTTGCTTATCGCTTAGCAGTCTGTAACAATATTTTTTCTATATTAATGTAATATCTGCAGGCGCTATGCAATATGACGTCCTGACAATACAAAACTTAAGAAAGGAGAAAAATCCCACGGATGAACTCTTGACGCTATGGGGTAATCTCAATCATACGATAACGGAATTATTTGTGTTGTTGTCCAGAATACAGCACTATCAGGCAATGAAACAGCTATTACCTTTTGTGGATCGAAAATTTCACAGGCTTCTGCACAACGGAGAAGCCAACTTGCAACACGTGGCGCGCACGCAGGCGGTCAACAAGAATACCAAAGATTTAAAGATCGGCACGCAGAATTTTAATCAATGCGCACTGCCGCAGCAGAGTGTCAATAAAGTCTTAAATCAAATGGCACAGTTGGGCATCAGCCCAAGCAACTCCAATAATTTATTAGTAGCTTCGCTGGCAGCTGCCGCTGCTGTTTTCTCACCGTCTCCGCAAAATACTGGTAGCAATGAGAAAAAGATCAATGAATCGCCACTGCCAAGAACAGAATCTACCTTGCCACAGGCAAGCTATAGCGAACTAGCTATTGCCACGGATGGATGGAATCAGCACAACGTATTAGGAAGAGGTGGTTTTGGAACAGTCTACAGAGGTACGTTATTTAATTTATTTATTAACGTGTGGATTACTAAAAAGATTGTTAAATTAAGAACGTTTGATTATCTTAAAGGTTTCCTCAAGTAACATTTGTATATGTTGCAGGCATATGGAAAAATACCGATGTTGCAATAAAGAAAATCCGACAGAAAGGATCCGACTCGGATGAAAGTTACAAACTGCAGCTCCAGCAGTCATTGAAGGAAATAAAGATCTTGAATTCTCGTACCCACGAAAATATCTTGCCGCTATATGCATACAGCCTTGGTGGCGAAGCACCGTGCTTGGTCTATCAGCTCATGAAGAACGGATCTTTAGAAGATAGACTACTATTAAGGCAAAAGACGAAACCGTTACTGTGGCTGCAAAGACATGACATTGCCAAAGGTATAGCACGCGGATTGCAATACTTGCACACCATCGGGGAAAAACCGTTGATCCATGGTGATATTAAAAGTGCGAATATTTTGTTGGATAAAAATTTCGAGCCTAGAATTGGAGATTTTGGTTTGGCGCGGGAAGGTCCCGATAGGGACAGTATGAAGGTAAGTAACTATTAGTAGGTAAATAAAATAAAAAATGTAACGTGAATGTGATTTTTAGTCAGCTAGAAAACTACACAAGATGTTTTCTTAAAGATTTAAATACTAAATGTAATATAATTTGATGATTTTATTACAATGGGCAATTGTTATGAAAAATTGTTCATAATAATTATTAATTATTAGATCAGCAGAATCCATGGAACTAGACCCTACCTACCGGACGAATTTTTACGTGACAAAAAATTGTCTACAAAAATAGACTCTTACAGTTACGGTATTGTCTTGTTCGAGATGGCAACTGGTCTTCGAGCCTACGACGATTCACGGCCCGAAAACAAATTACTGGTACATTTAATTGAATCATCGAAGAACAATCTGTCGTTATTGATAGATAAAAAGGGAGGTGAATACAACAAAGAAGTGTCTACAAATTTACTGTCTATAGGCATGTGGTGTGCCAATGAATTTGCCCAAAATCGACCTACAATGGAAATTGTATTTGAAACATTGAATAACTTGTGAAATTTCATAAGCATTTGGTTGCATATGTTTGAAATACAAGTTACACACACGCATGCACACATGTAGATAATATATTGTAAATACTTATATCATTCTTATCGAACGTAATTAAATAATTTCTATACATATATATTAATCAGTTTTATTGATAAATTTTAATTTTATAAGACAGCTAACACTACACGCTCCTCTTATTATATTTTTATTTCCTTGAAATATTCAGATACATATGGATTTATAATTAGATCACTAACAATAATTATAAATTGCCAATTGTATTCGGTACAAAAATAAGTTTTATCGAGATCAATGAAAAGCAGCGCATAGTGTTAAGTCATAAAACTTCTTTCTTTAATTGTATTTAATATTCCAATATACTATCATTTACAATGCTGTTGTGTCAGAATTACAACTTTTATTTTTCTTTTATTTTATATTATATACAATAAATTTATTCGTCATTGGAGTATTTTTTTAGTATATTAAAAGTAGAGATGTACACGATAAAAACATCTGTAACGTTATCACATTTGCCGTGTTTAAACTTAAAGTTTAATTGCATTGAGGTATACATATGCATCGAAAATATCTTAAATATATCATTCGTTTATATGTACATTTTATCGTGCATTACCTAAATTTTCTTCGCGCTATGATGATTTCATGTAATTTCTATCACTATGGTGGACATGCTGCAGATAAAAAATTATCGCAAGGAGAACAAGAGAATTTCATCGATTCGCTTCATTCTAAACCGAGTCACGCACCGATGATAGTAAGTCTGTGAAAAAGATCACATCTCTTCCCCGTATTTCCACTGATGTGATCACATGCGCGAACATTTCACCAATATTCACTATGGCATCTAATTATCCACCAAACAATCTGTCTTTGACGCAATCCTGTTGACCGTCGGTAAAATATGAATGGAAGTATATTGACCATTGCATAGCGGTATCCTCAAATCTGGATTGTCGTTACTGCTGACCATTTCCTGCTCCTGCTGCTGTTGCTGATTAAGTATCCATACAATGGAAATCAGCGATAACACTGACATCGTCACGCCGATAACACCAAGCAGATACATCACCACTGTCTGTGCAATCGGTAATATTTGAAGAGCTAACTTCAGACAAACTATCATAAAGGTCGGCAGCGACAAAATGTGCTGCAAGAAAAAGAAGGGAAAAGAAATTTATTGCATAATTTAATAATAAAATATGATATGTATATATACAACATTTATATATTTACAAAAAGTATTTTCGTAAATATACAAGAATATTATTTCATATAAGATTTCTAATCGTACTCGTACTGTGATGAAAAGCTGTGGGTTATCAGTATGAGAAATGTGTATTTAAACAATACAGAACTTTATATAAAAACTAATCAGAAACTCTTCAGGGTCACCAGCAAAAATTAAAAACATATAATTTGGTTGACCATATCTGGCAATTTTAATGATTTAGTATCGCTACGTTTCGACCATGGGTTTTGGCCCTTTTCAAGCGAGTGTAACTACAAATTTAAATTTTACAGATTGATACAGTGTTAACATTTGTGATATTAATTTGATATTAATTTTTATATAAAAACTGTATGCGTCGGAAGAAATGAAAAAGAAAAGAATGTCAAGAACAAATTGAGAAAAGAAATGACATTTAATAACAGAATTAAACAAGATTATCGAAGTGCAACTAAAAAAAAATTCAATCTAACTTCGGATATTTCCTAATAACTTCTCAATTATTTCATATTATCAATATGCGTATTTCAGGTTGAGTGATATTTTTTCATGGAAACATCAATGATAGTGTTGCAGCGTAAATCACGGCTAGTTATAGGTGCAATAAAAGAAACAAATTAGAGAAAGCGGAGAGAAATATGTCATACAAGTATATCGTAGCTTTCAGAGAAGGCGATCTTTATAAATCAGTTACAAAATTACTCACCATATCGATCCATATTAAGGGCACCGTTATGTTATTGAATGCCGTAATTTTAGAATTGTAACGTGTGCGTTGCATTACCAAATTTGTCTGAACCCTAGAATGAAAGACTAAGGGAATACCGATCAACTGAAAGAATAAGAAAATTATTAGCTTGCGCTCAAGTTTATGTATCTAAACAAACGTTAGAAAATCAGAAAGCGTCAACATTTTTTTACTTTCACTCACTCATGAATTTCATTTTAAGAAAATAATTGTTCCATTGTACAATTTGAATAATAATTTCAAGTTCTTTATGAAAATACCTTTCGCTATAATGCACTTTTAACATCCTGATCGCAATATGTTTTATTTATGAAAAATTGTACGTGAAGCTTGAAATATATTAGCATGTGTATCAATTAGAATTTAATTATTTTATGTTAGAGAAACTCATGATGTCGACAGCTGCATGTCATCATTACATAGACGTTAGATAAGTTTGAAATAGCAATAGATAATGGCCCACTTTCGAATGCGTTCTTCGTACGCAATTCTGAGAAATTCCATGGCGATTGAATAATCTGTACGTAAGACTTATCTAATCGTAATACAAAGTGGCGTACATGAAACCGGCCCCGAACAGTCTTTTTAGCTATATTTTACGCTTGGATCCGGTTTTATGTCGCCACCCTGTATAAGAATGTATATAATTGATGAGTACTAATAAGCTTATCTAATGCAATTATGATCCTCAATTTGCTGCTAGTCAATAACTCGCGTGAATTTTTCTCCAGCAATGTCTCTTCAAAAGAATGATTTTCGCGATATATTTTCACAACTTAATATCAAATTATGCTTTCAGATTTGCAACTATTTTGAATATTTAATATTATTTACCGGCTGCAGAATTACATAAGACTCGTGCTTCTCTCGATCAGGCTCAAGACCTTCCACATCTTCCAGCAAACTCGGATCAGCATCGAGAAAATGTGGGAGCGATACCGCCGCCGGGATATCTAAAAACCAGATACATGAATTATTTATTAAGCTTCTTGACAATGAGTCTTCTTAAAGGGAACGTACGTATCTTTGCGACATTGAACGAGAAAATATCACAGCTATACGATAATTTAATACAGACTCAAAGGAAATGGCGTGTAGAAAGGCCATGGCGTAAACTCGCTGCTTTTATAACAATTACGCAATGAAACCGTATAGCGAGGGAATTAGAATTTCATAGACGCTTCATTATCTCATAACATATATTTGGTATTCTATCAGTAAATTACATTATGTCTAACGAATTTCTGCAAAAAAAAATTATAAATCCGCATTCATAATCAATACGCGCTCTTTAAACGTGGTTGAATCAAATTATTTATAGGAGAGAAATACTAGAGGAAGAAAGAAAGAAGAATCTCGAAAGAATACGTACTGTAGTAGCACGGTGATAAATCAGACAATCCTTTCTTCAGACAAGTCTTCATCTTACGGCAATAACATTCATTGTCCGGATTCAGATCGGGCGGATCAGCGAAATCATCCGCGAGGGTGTAAAGGTATCCTGGTATGCCGTTTTTTGTCCAAACTTCTTTTCTATACGTAATCTGTAGCGCACGACAAAATGATTTCCTGAAGACCCTAAACTTGGCCCGCTTATCGATGTGCGGTGGGAATATGGTACCTTCCGTGGCGCCTTGAAGTGTGTTACAAACTGTATTCCTAAATCGACAAAAAATACTGTTTAAATCTGAAATAACAGTACTATTTCATACATTTTAATCGAATACCGATTGATCAACGTATAAATCTTAATACAGAGTTTAATATGATTCAAACGTATAAAATACAATACATTCATCTGAAATTTTATCCATTTTATTATTTTTTTAAAATTGCTTCTTCATACAATCTCTTCAACCTTTATAAAATCATGATTTATAAAATCATATGTATTAACTAAGATAACTAAAAATTAATTTGTTATCGTGTGATAAATTTAAGAACATTGCTGGAATGTTTCAATAATGTCTGCCTGTCTATCTATTTAAATGGGAGAACATAGTTTTCCGCAGAACAATTATTAAACAATTATTTACTCTTTTCGCGTTTCGTTGCCCTCCGTTTCGACGTATCCCCAATTCGCCAAACCGGGGCTGCCATTCCATCTGTCGATGCTGAGATATCGCCCTTTCTCTTCCATTATGTTAGCCTGTTTATCCATATATACCGTTATGATGTTCTCACCCTCGTCGTACATCTACAATAATACAGATATAGGTTTTTGTGTAAATTTTATCATAAAATTGGTTTTGGTTTTTTATTATTAAACGCTTTTCAAACACATTATTTCCTTCATAGATGATACGATCCACCTATCTATTCAATTGTTGTTCGAAAAATTATTTACAAGATAAATTTAAATATATAATACCTGTGAGATTAAACGTTTCCATAATCAGTACCAAAGACAAAAATGCGCATTAATTTATTGGAAACGGAAAGACCATTAAGTCACGTTAATTAAATTTATGGAAGCGCAACAGTTTGTGCAATTATGTGTGATAGCAAAGCGATAAACGAAAAATAATTGGTTCACTCAGTCAAAAACATATTTCATCGCTTCTAATTTTTTTACGCTCTTAATTTTAATGAATCGGTACTCGTGGACCTTACGTACTCTAGATTAATATATACGCGTTAATGATTTATCACAACAATTATTTTACGATTGTCAAACATGGTGATTTTCTATTACATTAAAACATTTAAATTTGTGAAAGTCTTTCCACAGGTGATAAAACATAGATAGAACCATGAAACACACGCATACACTACACAAATGAGATTCGCTAAAATATTATCCATACAGCAAACAGTGTCACAAACATATCTGGGAGATATCTAAATATTACAATATCTGCTACCAAAATCTATTCAGATATCGCTTGAATATCTGAGAGATGTTTTCCAGATTCTAAAAAGTCATGATTATTTCATCTGAAATTTGATATCTGATTTTATTAAGTAATAAATAATTATAAAAGAAACAAATAAAAATATAGACAATAATTTTTTAAAAGAGATATTAAAAAAGACATCAGATATCCTTAAAATATTCAGGATACATTATCTACGAGATATCTGATTTAAGTATCAGATCTTTTGCTGTGTGGGTAAAGTACAGTGGTGCAGGATTTGACATAAAAAGAGCTGGTGAATAAACTTTCAAAATGTTAAAATTATCCACCGCTCTACGCCATTTGCAATGATTTGTTATCAGAAGTCACGATATATATTCACCGATATCAGTGCCTAAAGTAAAATTTTTTAAATACTCTTCAAGATCTTTTTAATGCGTTATTATTACTGTTATCATGATATATGTGTTTTGCAGTAATGCGTCTGTTACAAATCTCCATAACATGTTACCCAAAGTCGCCGAAAAATCTGTTTGATTACTCCTCGTGCATGCCATTTTTTACGTACTCATAAATAAAGTAACAATCTTGTTAGATATCGCAAGGACAACTTGAATTATTAGTGCGATAAAGAAAAAATCATGCGTATCTCTTGGGACCATAGGCCGTACAGTGCTTAAAGTCGTTAACGCTAACCTCATGAACCCTGAAACGAGCGTGCGTAAATAGTGAAAGGATCAGCGGCTCGCAATTGCGAAAAACGACGGCAATTCAAGACACACGGGTCCGCGACACTGTCTCAATTGCTTTCGCGCGTACTTACTGTTGTATGATCACGATCAGGGTTGTGCCATAGATTATCAAATAATACTACCTGTTACATGTACACACACTCACTCCCCCCCCCCTCTCTTTCTCTCTCTCTCTCTCTCTCTCTCTCTCTCTCTAAAGAAAATGTGACAGAAATAAAACATGTATGTATGTAATAGAAATAAAACAAAACAAAAATGTATAACATTGCGAAATTTAGGTTTAAAAAAAAAGTGGTAAAAACAGGCAGGCTCTTTTTCAAAAAGTTAAATTGAGACAAAGCTTGAGTAATATTTTTAATTTTAATAAACTGTGTTATCAAATTTTCGTCCAATTTGACGAATAAAAAATATATTGTAATTGAAATTGCTTTAATTAAATAATTCTCTCCGTTTTGAAATTACTCTCCAAGTACAAAAACAATCATCCTCCATGTACAACCTAACGTACATTAAAAAATTGAGAGAGAGAGAGAGAGAGAGAGAGAGAGAGAGAGAGAGAGAAAGAGAAAATTAGCTAGTGTTACTAGTGGCTAATCGTGCATAGAGAATGCGTGCGCTTGAGTTAATTTGCATACGATGTGGATTTCAGACAGGATGTGTGGAAATTAATTTTCTTACTACGAGCAAAATTCCTCTTTTTCGAATTATTCCATCCAACATCCATTATTTCTTCAGGATCCAAACATTGGGGACAAGAAGTTATTCTGAAATATGATGATGACATTACTCGCGATGGTAAAGTTGTGCTGAGAAACCGGTTTCTTTTTATGCCAAAACCTAAGTGATCTTCCAGTCTTCGATAATGTGCAACAAGATTACAGAACTTTTAATAAGCGACCGATTATGCAGTGCCAATGGCAACGTCCAGCAGAAACAGCATGCTATGCTGTTGATTTTTTTAACGTCACTTAGCGGTTTAATCAGTTAAGTTTCCCAATCACACTTTTTTCCATTTGATAAGAGTTGGTTTTTCCAACCCCTTGGTAAACTAACTATTGGTTGGTTAAATCGTATAACTTATACCTTTGTTTAATTCGAAGGAAAAACAAAGACATATATACATGATTTAATTATTAGTTAATTTATCAAAAGATTGGAACAACCGGCCCTAAGCGTACTACAAATATATTGGAAAAAATGAGGAGCGCTTAGTAAACATGTTGGAAAAGCAGAAACTACCGTTCAGCAAAAGTTGTTGCAAGATTTACTGTTTGCGCGGTGTAAAACGCTTACCAAGCTGCTTTCTTTGCTGAACGCAGCTTGACGCAAATGACGAAGATTTTTTATTAGAATTTTTATTATTCGCCTCATTCTACGATAAAATAAATGGTCGTAATAACATTGTAAAATCGTATGTACATTTTTCCATTCAAAGGTCAGATACAAGACGAATGGTTGTTAACACGTTTTGCACAAGACCGCGTTTGTTAAGTGTTCGACGGAAATGCGTCTGGATTCTAACCAGTTTATCCACGATGTAGTAATCGCGAATGAACGCCGGCATTTGTATGATTAATTAAAACGCACCCCCTTCCCCTTTCCCTTGGATTTCACCCTGCGCCGCTGAAACTTTCGGTCACTTTCGGTCACTTTTCCAGCTGTTTTGTGAGCCGTACGTTCGAGTGCGAGCTCGATGAAAGCGAGCACGCCGGTGAAGCTATAACTTCTACGTCCGGTTTTGCCAAAGTACGTTTTTATATGCCTAACGATTAACTGTATCGATAAGAACTAGGCCGCAATAAATTTATTGATTGACCAATCACCTCAAACTGGTTAATTGATAACTGTAAAGTTTTTTTTTTCGCTGCCGGCTAAGTATACGCTGAAGCGCATTCCCCTTCTGAATTTCTAGACTTCTTAACGCTTGGAAAACACGCAGTTATTGATGACCGAAAAGATTTAACAACATGATAAAAGCCAACTTTGCACACACTGGCGCTATCTGCGGAACTATACATTTTAATACAGCAACCAAAGTATTGAAGAGTTATTTCGAAATATTATAAATGAATAAGATTTAAATAATAACTTTTCACTATTTTTACAGAATATATCAAATGTACTAAATATTTCTACAGAAGACATCATTATCTCATGTATGCATATACATACATGTGAGGTAGCAAAGAGAAAATTGAAGATGCTTTTGTTCGCGGATTTACCTATCTCGCCAATGATGAATATTTTTACCAGGCGTATTATCTAGCTTTCTCTTCTATTGCAATGCAACAAGCCAAAGAAATACTTTTGCATCGTAGATATAAATATTTATATTAAATTATCTTAAATATACATTCAAATAAAAATGGGATATTAAGCAATTGATTATTAAGTAAGCTGATAAATGTGCCTAAATATATTTTCAATGATTGCAAAATAATCTTTTATAATATTATATATTTCAATGGATCGTTTGAGATATAAGAAATCGGTTTACTCACCCTATCTAAGAGACCGAGTTTTTGGAAGTTGACAAACTTCGGCACAATTCCACTGGCCAATGTTACCATTGAATCCTCGTAACCCCAGAAATAATCGTAAACCGTCATATTAAGAATCGGTTTCGCTTTCATCAAATTAGTCAGTTGTACAAAAGGATAATTCACCATAAATCCGGAATCACTCAAAGCGGATGAAGCACCCTGCATCATAATATTTTTGTGCGTATAGTAGTCTTGCAAAATTATCCTAAATAATCCTAAATATTAAATTGAATTGAACACAAAATTTTTAAGATAAACGAACATATACATTAGTTTCACTCATATGAATAAACAAATTTGTATTAACAAAATATGCCTTGAAGAAAAGATCGTGAAAATGTCTTTTTAAAGGATGAATACTCCTAATATATAAAAATATAGATTGAGCATACACAAGCTTGCAATGTATTATACATATACATACAGGGTGTCCTGAAATTCGCGAATCAAAATACCATAGCAAGAATGTCGTCGAAAAAATAAATTGAAAAGTTATTTGCCATTTTTCGTTCCGAGCAGTAGTTTTTTTTAGATAAAAAGGTTCAAAACG